TTCAGCAGGTGCTCTATGCAAATTGTTCCACTTGTGGATATCTTCTTGATGTACTTGTGGGGAGAAGTGAACCCCAGGTCCTCCTATTCCACCCTCTTGACTTCTCTCAGCTCCTTATTTGTTCTTTGTGTTGTATCTGAAATAGCTTTTCCACCCCATGTGTGTACCTTTATTCCTTATTTATTTCTAGGAATGCCCTTCCTACTCTAATCTTTTATTATAGAAATCCAACTCATTTTTTCAGCCTGGTTTGTGAAATTTTCCCTGACCTCACATTTAGAGGCAATTGTTCCTTTTTTTTCATTTTTATATAACTTTATAGCTCTTTATAATATTTATCAAATATTATCTTTGTTATAATTATTTATGTCTTTTTATCCTCATTCTCTTAGATGGCAGTGTTTTTGAGGGTAGTTTTATTTTTTCCTTTCTCATAATTGTAGAACTGTACCTTGCATATATAGGCACTCAAGTATATTTTGAATTTTAAATATATTTATGATTTTTATGTATTTATTGATGGTATTTATTGATGGTATTTATATTCAAGGAATAATATGTAGTTTTATAGTTAGAAATCATTGTAGTAGCAATAAGTATTCTGTCATAACCATGTGAAAAGTATAACTGACATTTAATATTGGAATTTAATTTCAGTAGTAGAAGATGGTGGTTTAAGCTGGCTAAGGAAGTCTTACCAAAGAATGAAGGAACAAGCTGAGAAACAAAATAGAAAATTTGAAGACATTGTAGCTGAAAGATACGGGGTAAGTATTAAGGAGATACATATTATTTTCAGAGTTATATGAGAAATTAACTTTGTCAGTGTTTTGTGCCAGGAAACACTTTTGAATTGACTTGATACTAAATTTCAAATGTGTATATTGCTATAGCCATTTTTTCCTTTTCATTTTTATGTAAACCTATGTAACATATTTGAATATAAAACTCAATGAATATAAAACTTAAGTATGTAAATTTTAAGTATGCATGTGTTTAATGGAAAAGCAACGTTTTATTCTTGTGAGGAAATTTAAATAATGTAGGAAAGCCTCCATAGTATACCTCTGGACATAACCACTGTTAAAAATTTTGTATATATCAGAGATTTTATTTTATTTCAGAGTTTTTGTTGTATTCCAGAGTTTCAGATTGTAACAGTTTTTTTGTTGTTGTTTAGAGAGTGTGCATGTGTACTCTTTTTTTTCTTGCTTTTAAAAAGTGATATTTATTTTTTTTCCAGTTTTATGAAATATACTTGACATACAGCACTGTATAAGCTTAAGATATGCAGCATAATGATTTCACTTACATACATCATGACATGATTACCAAGTGTGTGTGTATGTGTGTGTGTGTGTGTGTGTGTGTATGTACAAAACAATGGAATCATGCAGCAGTATATTTTAGAACCAGCTCCCCCATTTACCATGGGTGAATAATCTTTCTGTTTCAGTAGCTATTGATGTCCTGTTTTTCTTTTTAATTTCAGAAGAAAGAAGGCTTAGGAAGGAGTAGGCAAACAAAAAAAGTGAGAGAGAAAAATTATCCTTTGTTTTAAGAGAATCTTTGTGAATATTTTGATTTTTTTTTAGGTTTTTTTCTGGTTATTATATACTTTTAAAATAAGCAGTTTTATAAAAGTAGGCTCATAGAATACATCCTGATTCTTTCACTTACACAAACAGACATAGTTGGATGCCAGTAAATGTATATATTTTAATGACCTCTTAATATTTACATATATATATTTATATGATTTTACCATTATTTATTTAATTGTCAGTGGAGGGACATTTATATATTTTTATTTTCTCCCCTGTTAAACAACACTGTGCTGATCATCTTTTCCAATGCATTTTGCATACTTACCTGGTTATTTCCTTACATGAATTACTAAAAGGGAAATTGTCAATTTAGAGGATATAGACACTTAAAGTGAGATATGTATTGCAAAATTTCTGTACAGAAATATTGAAGAAATTATACTCGCAGTAAAATGACTTTTGTTACATGGTTTTCAATAGTAGTACTATCATTCTTTATAGTCTGTGCTACTGTGATTTGTAAGCAGACTTTTTCTTTGCTTTTATTTTTATACATTTGTTTACTAGCAAAGTGGGATATTTTTTCATTTTTTTTGGCCTTTTGATAGATTATTGATGGTATTTACCCATATTGGGATATTAATTTAAGACCTTTTAGTAAGTCTGTTCAAATTTCTTCCTGATAGTTTCATGTTTATTTTTTACTTTGTTTATATTTGCTATGAATATATTTAAAATATTTTTACGAACAAAACCTATCAGGTTTTTCTTTTATGACTTAATGTTATTGGTATAATTCATTGACAGGCCTTCTCCACCCCCAAGATCATAAAAATGCACACCTATATGTCCTTTGAGAACTTGTTCAGTTTTATTTTTATGGATAGCTTTAATATTTTTGAAATACATATTTGTGTATAGTTTAAAGTAAGCATTTAACTTTCCTTAAGTCTTTAGATAGTCATTTATAATATATTGAATGAATTATTTTTTCCCACTAATTAGAAATGACACATTTATTATATATTACATCATTTTTTATAAAATCAGTCTATTTCTTTACTCTCAAATCAATTTTATTGATTTTTTTGTTGTTTCCTAGAATTAGTATCATACTATTTTAATTACTGTAGTTTTCAGTAACTCATGCAGATAGCAAATAATTAGTGAACACCTACTATGTGACAGGGTAAGTCTTCTTTTATTAGTCACTAAAAAAAAGTAACTTTACATTCTTATGTGTGCTTTTTTTTGTTGTTAAATTTAGAATCAATTTTGTCAAGTTCAAGCTCAAAAGAAAGTTTTCCAAAATACATTATAAATTTACAACTCATTTTGGAATTTTGAAATTAAATGTATAGATAATTCAAAGACAATACCTTTGTAATGTTGAGTAATCTCATCCTAAAATACTGGTTATTTCTCAATTCAAAATTTTTAAAAATTTTTATTGGAGTACGGTTGTTTTACAATGTTGCATTAGTTTCTACTGTATAGCAAAGTGTATCAGCTATACCTATACATATATCCCCTCTTTTTCGGATTTCTTTCCCATTTAGGTCACCACAGTCAATTCAGATTTTTATTTATGCTCTTCAGTACATTTCTCCATTCAGTTGTTAATGCGTGTATCCTAAGATATTTTTATTTTTTTCAATTGTATGCTGAATCTTTGTTGTTCTCTTATGTTTTCTGACTTGCCTGGTCTTAGTCTGCCCATTTTTTTTTAACTCTTGTCATTAAATCTATAGTGTTTTTTTTTTTAATTGGGTTATATGGGAATATAGTTATATGCAAATGGTGATTACTTTTGCTTTTGCTACTCGGTATTACAATATTTAAACTTTCTTATATTCTTGAAGTAGAATTTCAGAACTTTGATTAATAACACTTTTCTTTCTGTGTTGAAGTGATAACTTCTTGCATTTAAGATGAAGATTGTCATCTTTAGAAAGCATCTTTGCATTCAAAGTTTATTCAAAAGTGTTTTTTTGTTAATTTGCTATTGCTTTTAAATTAGGAATGGGTATCTAAATTTTATGAAATAACTTTTTTGGTATCCTTTGATATAACTGTGATTTCTTTTTTCTTTTGTTAATGAGATGAATTGCCTGAATACATTTCCTAACATTGGACCATTCTTGCATTCTTTGACTCCTATTTGATTATGGCATTTCCTTAATATACCACTACATTAAATTTGTTAATATTTTATTTTGAATTTATATCTTTATTTATACATAACATGGCCTTCAGTTTCCTTCTTTTTTTTAGGGGTTATTATGAGTTTATGTTTTGAATTATGAACTTTTATATAAGTTCTTTTTTTAAAAAAACCTTTTTTTTAGATTGTTTTTTTGATGTGGACCGTTTTTAAAGTCTTTATTGAATTTGTTACAGTATTGCTTCTGTTTTATGTTTTTGTTTTTTGGCCATGAGGCACGTGGGATTCTAGCTCCCCAACCAGGGATTGAACCCTCACCCCTTGCATTGGAAGGTGAAGTCTTAACCACTGGACCACCAGGGAGTCCCTTATGTAATTTCTTAATGCTCTAGAACAGTTAAGAATCACAGAGTGAGGCATTTTGACGTAGTAGTTAAAAACATTGGCTTTGTAGTCAAATAGTCCTGAATTACAATACAGTGTTTGTTACTCTTGCTATGTGACCTTAGCTTCATTTTTATTTTTCATTTTAAAAACACAGCTATTAGTATCAATATCATAGAATTGTTTTGAACATTAATAATAATTTGAATGCTTTTTATCTGCCAGGTACTGTTAAAATACTTCATGTATAATTAAACTTATTTAATACCCATAATTGTACTACTTTCTTGTTTGGTAAATGAGGAAACTGAGGCAGACAGAGTTTAAATGACCAGGATTACGTAGCTCATGAGTAAATGTGAACCTAGGCATTGTTTGTAGAGCCCACTTAAATGATACAAAAGATGTAGTAAAATAAGCATTGGATAAATTGTGGTAACTGCTGTTTTGGTTTTATTATTACCATATTTTATTTAATCTAAGAAGCCACTAATTGTAGATACATCATTAATTTATGTATCACCAAGAAAAAAAAGAAGTTGCCTATGAGGCAATGCTTAAATTATGAAAATATTCCCCCCCACTGCCATCAGTTTCACTCTATTGATGTTGTCATTAAATTTAAGAAACATGTTAAACCTGAATTTTTAAAATAATTTGAAAAAATGAATATAATGGATTATCTCTGCCTAGACAAAGATGACAACTTTCCATCTCAACTCACATATTTTATTGAAATAATTTGAAATTTTAATTACAGTTTACTATAAATTTAAAAAATATGCATGTGATTCTTGACAGTTATATTCTTCACAACTACAAGAACAATTATTTAGACTTAACCATTACATTTGCCACTTGGTTTATAGCATGCATTCCTTTTTTCAGAGATCTTTGCCCTAATTCATTTATGGTTTGGCTTAATGATCCTGAGTAATTTTCCCCCCAGAATTAGTAAGTGATTTACTTTTTGATTCCTTTCATTTTGGAAAATGACTTTCTTTTGTCCATGTCAAGGAAGGATCATTTGACTGAATTGAATTCTGTATATAGAATTATTATTGCCTTATAATTTTTTATCAAAATTTGATCTTTATTCCATTATCTTCTAGCATTTAGTATTGTAAGCGAATAGTTGATAGCAGTCTGACTTTCTTTCCTTTGCAGGCAATGTGTTATATACCTAACTCGCATTTGTTTACATGCTCACACTCCCTTCTCCCCGATCCAATCTTTGTGAAGAATTTTTTTTCTGAATGAATTTTGAGACTCAGGAATTAGGATTTTTTATGTATGAGTCTTTGTATGCTTCACTTTCTCTCTTCCCCTAAGGCTGTTGGGTGAGCCCTTTGGATCTAGAAAGTTAGCTGAGGAAATTTTCTCTTTTTTTTGTTAATGCTCCTATTATCTTTGCTTTTTCTTTCTGAAAGTACTAGCATATGCATATTAGATTCTGTAGAATTAATTGTTCATGTGTCTTCTCCCTGTAACTTAAATCAATTTACCATTTTTTCCTAAGTATAGTGAATTCCCAGGCTAGTGTTGAATTCACAAATTTGGATTCAACACTTTCTATTCTACTCACTACATGCATAGTTTTGAACATAGTTTAATTATAAGTCTTTATTATTCTTGAACTGCTCTTTTTTATGAGAATCTATTTTGTTTTAGCATTTTAGTAACATCTTGACTCTCACTGACTGTAGGAATTATTATTATTATTATTTTTTTGCGGCACACGGGCCTCTCACTGTTGTGGCCTCTCCCATTGCGGAGCATAGGCTCCGGATGCGCAGGCTCAGTGGCCATGGCTCACGGGCCCAGCCGCTCCACGGCATGTGGGATCTTCCCAGACTGGGGCATGAACCCTGTCCCCTGCATCGGCAGGCGGACTCTCAACCACTGCGCCACCAGGGAAGCCCTGTAGGAATTATTATTATTTTTTAAATTATGTTTTTATTGTTTTCTGAATTACATTTTGTTTTAGTGCTGGTCATTTGGCCAAAGGGCTCCTTTTGAGCTCCCAGGATTTTTTCATTATTTGGTAATTTTTCATTGGTTATTCATATTTTTTTAAGTATTCATTTTATGGTAGTGTGTTTCCTTGCTAGGGCTGCCAAAATACAGCTCCACTGGCTGGGTGGCTTAAACAACAGAAATTTTTCTTACAGCTCAGAAGAATGGAAGTCCAAGATCAAGATGTTAGAGGGTTTGGTTTCATCTGAGGCTTCTCTTCTTGATTCATAAATGACTGCCTTCTTGCCCTGTCCTCACATGATCTTTTCTCTGTGTGTGCACATTCCTCATGTCTCTTTGTGTGTCCAAATTTCTTCTTCTTACAAGGACATCAGTCATACTGGATTAGGGCCTAACCCAATGACCTCATTTTAACTTAATCACCTCTTTAAAGATCTGTCTACAAATGTGGTCATATTCTGAGGTACTAGGGGTTAGGGGTTCAACATATAAATTTGGGGGGGACATACTTAAGGCCATGTCAGATAGGATGACTGTCTGGGTCTTTTATTACCCTTTGTTGAGTTTTTCTTTCGTTGTGCTACATGACAGTGTATCGTGACACAGTAGCATGTGGAGTACAAGTCATTGAGCCATTTTTAATTTTAAATATCTTGTTTAATTTTTCCTTCTTTCTAGTCAATGGAAATCTTCCAGTTGAAATTAAAAGAAGCTGAGAATACTGCGTTTATGAAAGAAGACTGTAGACGAGAACGGTGGAGGAAGAAACCAGCATACTCAGATAGAGCACAAAGTAGTCAGGAAAGTAGAAAATCAGACTTGGTAAAATATAATAAAAGTTCAAGAGATAGATATAATACAACAGATATTGCAAAGAATATCAATAAAGATAAGTTTAGTGGTGATGAAAAAGATAGTAGATCTGGGTCTTTAGAAGCATGTAGAAGAGAATCCAGTCCAAAACAAAATCAAGAGTTTTTTTCTCATATAAATTTGAGACCTAAATTCTTAAGACCCTCTGATGCAGAACTGTCATTTCATAGCAAGGACAGAAATTTTGAACCATCTAGTTCATCTTCAACACTGGTCTCTCAGGATTCTGTACATTGTGGTTTTCAAAAATCCACAGAGAACAGTGAAGAAAGTTTATCATGGTGGAGTCGATCTGATGAGAGAGAAGGAGACAGGAAACATTCAAATCGAAAACCATTAGAAACCAGTCACAGTGTTGACCGTGGACAAGTTTCAGAAGATGTAAGAGAAAAATCACAGGGTGAAAGCTTGAGAGAGGACTCTCTGAAAAAAGAACACCTACAGGATACAAAGTCTTCGCTTGCTGGGTATTTTTTCATTTATTTTTTAAACTGATAAATGGTATTAAGGTCCAGAGGATTCAGGGAACTGAACTGTATTTTTAGAGCATCAGTTACTAATTAGATATGAGTTATGATTTTCTATTTCTTAAATTCGATGGAAGAGATAGGATATGCACTTTTAACAATTCAGTAGTTCCGTTTTGTGAATTGTATTTCATTTCACAGTATATTTAACAAAAAGAGCTGGAAGATGAATTCAGTAGCTATATATTTCCTCAAAATGTATTGCTTTTTTGCAATCTAAAAAACTAAATGAGTTTAGTAATTCTTTTAAATGGATATGCCACAAGAAATATTTTGGTAGATTTTGTTAGTACTGCCATATTACTTCCAAAGGAAATTGCTGCATTTTAAAGTATAATCATAATTGTAAATATTGCATGCCTACTGGAGGTTTGGGAGACTGAAGGAAAATATGCTGCCATAGCCCAAATATAAAGTGGAAAAGATATGTGAAATATCCTGCAGAAGGAAGCATGAATTTTGGTGGTGGTTTTGCAGAGAAAGAAATCCACTTTGATGGTTGACAGGTTTTAAAGCTAATGTTAGAGTTTTTTTTTTTTTTAATATACATATCTTTTAAAAAAATATATTTATTTATTTAGGCTGTGCTGGGTCTTCGTTGTGACATGTGGAATCTTTAGTTGTGGCATAAGGACTCCTTAGTTGCGGCATGCATGCAGGATCTAGTTCCCTGACCAGGGATCGAACCCAGACCCCCTGCAGTGGGAGCACAGAGTCTTACCCACTGGACCACCAGGGAAGTCCCCTAATGTTAGAGTTCTGAAAGCAAAATATAGATAGGATAGTGGTTGTACCCATAATGATTAGGAAAATAGGCAGCACTTATTGGTTTTATTATTCTTGTACCTGTAGCACTTATATATAGGGCTGAGTCAGTCCATCAGGAAACCCAGGTTGAATGGGATCAAACCTAGGAAAACTTGATTTAGCCATAGGGCTGGCACTATTTGAAATAGCCATAAATAGAAAATGAGTATCCAAAGGATAATAACTAACTTATACTTGAATGATCATTAAAATATGTTTTAAAATACCACCAAATGAATGGGACACTGAAGGAAGAGGTTTTAGGAAATAATAGAATTCATTGGTGGCAGTAGTAGGTATAAGCATTGTGGTTTGGGGTCATGAGTCTGGTAAATCACTTTTGTTAGTGACTCCATCTGAAGCTGTGGATTATAGAGCACTGTGTGTAGCTTTCAGTAGGAGGGAGGCAGGGAAGCTGGCAAAATCTGGACTGAATGATGGGAGGCCCAGTCACATGGGCTCTGGTTCACGTCAGGGCTTTTTTCCCAGGAAACGAAAGGAGAAATCCAGTTGTATTGACCGGATAAACATGGCAGGGATTAGAGAATGTCTAAGGCTGTATACATATATAATTGTCCAGGCTTCACTCCAGGTAGTCTGGAAGGTAGACTATTTCCAGTCACCAGTTGCTAGTGGGATGAGGCTCTTATTTCCTGATATCATTAGGGTTGGCTTAACATTTGGGTGATCTGTAGATATTTACTTCTGTGACTGCAGCTAAGCAGAATATGTAAGCAATCTTACATTGTTAGTATTCCTTCTGGTTCTATACTTGCTTCATGTTTATACGTTGTAAGCTTCTGATAGATATACTGTAATACAGGAACTCATTAAAAGCTTTACGTTTTGGTCTGAAGACAGTATTCTTTGTTAGCTGTGTTAATTTTGATGTTACAGATGTTTTGAGGCTTTCCATGAATTCCATGATTGACTGGAGAGGGAAAGGACAGTCTAGGAATATTCCACATATATGTAAACAAAAAGGAATTCCTGAGCATGTAGAGTGGTATAAAGTGAGAAACCAAGTGTGGGACCTTGAAGAATGCCTGTTTTCAGGGAGTGGAAAGATTCAGTGAAGGATTGTTAGAAGCTGTTAATTTGTCTGAACACTATCCTGGGTATATGTTGAATTCTTTATAAAATGCCAGAATTTTAGGGAGCTTTAGAACCAGTGAATTTTAGAACTAGGAAAAAATCATAGAACTGATTTTAGAACTAGAAGAAATTACAGACTGACCTGGGCATTTTCCAGATGCAGAGACTGAGGCAACTGAGATTGTGACTTGCACAGTGCTATGTAACTGGGGTTGCCAGATTTAGCAAATAAAATTGTTTGGACATACTTAAACTAAAAAATATATATATTTTTTACCTGAAATTCAAATTTAACTGGGTGTCATGTGTTTTATTTGGCAACTGTACGTAGCACTTGGCCATTCCTTGGGTCTGTGACCTTTTTACAAGAGATAACATAATTATAATCATCTCTGGGTATCCACCAGGGGATTGGTTCCAGGACCGCAGCAGATACCCAAATCTGGGGATGCTCAAGTACGTTATATAAAAAGGTGTAGTAGTATTTTTATTTATAATCTACGCACATTCTCCCATATTCATTCTTAATTCCTTCCTTCCTTCCTTCCTTCCTTCCTTCCTTCCTTCCTTCCTTCCTTCCTTCCTTTCCTTCTTTCCTTCCTTCCTCCCTCCCTCCCTCCCTCCCTTCTTTCTATTTTTTTGATGTGGACCATTTTTAAAGTCTTTATTGAATTTGTTAAAATATTGCTTCTGTTTTATGTTTTTGGTTTTTTGGCTGCGAGGCCTGTGGGATCTTAGCTCCCTGACCAGGGATTGAACCCACACCCCTGCATTGGAAGGCGAGGTCCTAACCACTGGACTTCCAGGGAAGTCTCCTGTCCCATATACTTTAAATCATCTATAGATTACTTATAATACCCAGTACAACGTAAATAGTTGTATATACAGTGTAAATGCTATGTAAATAGTTGCCAACTCTCGGCAAATTTAAGTTTTGTTTTTTGGAACTTTCTTAAAGTTTTTTTCTAAATATTTTCAATTCCTGATTGGTTGAATCTAAGGATGGGGATCCCATGGATACTGAAGGGCTGACTGCCATTTTATATAAGGGACTTGAGCATCTGCAGATTTTGGTATCTGCATCGGGTCCTGGAATATACCAACAGATAACTGTACTATTCTGAATCATATTTTTTCCAATCAGTATTATCTTAAAGACCTTTTCACACCAGCCCATATGTATGCATTTTTTTTCATTTTGAAGTCTCTGATATTCTGTTGTAAAGCTTAGAGATAAGCTAGTATTTCTCATCAGTTTCCTATTGATGGACTTTAAGGTAATTTCTAGTTTGTTGCTCTAAATAATACTACAGTGAATAGTTTTGTATGTGTATTTTTGCATACTACTTAAATATAGCTGTAAAATAAATTCCAAGGAGTGGAATTATATATTTTGTTGTACTAACCAATTTACACTCTTACCAGTCATGTATGAGAATGATTTTTCTCTTCCTTGCTGATAGTAGTATTGAGGTTTTTAATCTTTGCCATAGATACATAGTTGAGGAACAGAGGCTTTCTTTGGTTTGCATTTATGTAAGTATGGGTGAAGTTTGACATATTTTTATAAATGTTGTTAATTTTAATTTTATTTTATTAACCAGTCATATATTTTACCTAGTTCTTGAGTTTTTTTGTGTGTGCGTGAGCACTTCTATAGTTGTCATGTGATATATATAATTTTTCATCATCTTTAGATTTCTTCTTTTTGTGTTTTTACTTTTCTTTTTTCATCTATTTTTTCATTCATTCTTATTGTGATCTGATTTATCATTCTTTTCCTTTGTGCTTTTTAGACCCTTAAGTAGCTGGAAGACATCCTCTAATAGTGGCCCATGTGATTAAGCATCTTAAGCTTTTTATTCTTAGAAACAAAATGTGTTTGTGTATAATTTTGCTTTATTGGAAAATATATTAGCTATATATATTCAAGAGTTTGAAACCTATGATAGTATGTAATATGAACAAAAACTAATGTGATGTCCTTAATTTAGATTTTATCTAAGTTGATATCAGGAACTAGCTCATTTTATTTAAAATATTATATAAGGTTAAAAAGGTTAGAAACCTTGGCAGAGTTTGCTATGATAGCCTAGGAGGACAAGAGAAGGATACCAGGTTCTGAAGGGTTTGAGTTTAGTCATGAGATCCTTAGGGGAGAAAGTTTGAGAACAAATGGTAAGAAAAGAAGAATTAAAGGGGCAAGATCTTTGAATACTGTCAGCAGGCAAAGAATAATTGCAATATACTCAAGGTTTCTGAAATGTCATTGGGCTGGAGCTTTTTAAATTATTTTTTCCTCAGAAGTTTTCAGCCAGAGTTTGTGTTGTGTGTGTGTGTGTGTGTGTGTCTGTGTTGTGTGTGTGTTGTAAAGAAAGTCCGTTTTAGTGGGAAAATTGGATTTGCTTTTTAGAAAATAATTGTGAAGAGGGCTTTTGAAATATAGCAGTAAGCCGGGAAAATGAGAAGCACTTGTACATTTTTATTTTTATAGGATAATTGCAGATGTCATGGTGATGTTTCTTTCAGAGCATCTGCTCATCATTATAAATGCTTAGAGTCTTCCATTATAAATGGAAGAGTCTATGCTGTTTGTTGCAGAGCAGTGTCTTTGCTATGGTATTAACAATAATGTGTTCTTCAGTCATTGATGCCCAAGAACTTTAATTTTAATATCTTTATTTGATACCTATTACTGTTCTATCAATACTAAGTGTGTTGAAGTATCTGTTAATACTGAAAATATCGGAGATGTTCAGAATTCTTCCGTATCATCTCATTTATCCTGATCTACGTTCCATATACTAATAAACAATTCCTGTTAGAAAATAAACTCCCCCCAACTCGGTCAAAACAAAACCAAAAAAGATGTGTGGAGTATGAATTTCATGACCATGAAAGTTGCCTCTTTAAAGGTCTCTTGAGATTCCAGTTATCTTCTTGAAACTTGTAAGCTTTGGTTGGACGTCAGCATACCTTCTTGATTTCCCTCTCTTGATTGATTCTTTAAGCTTGCATACTGAAAAGTGAAGAGAAAA